GTGCTACTTGAAAAGCAAGCTCATATGTACATTTATCAAAGTCATTCCAACTTAAGCAAAATAGCCTTCATCCACATGCATTCAAGGAGATATTTCAACTAAGCACGTAGCCTCATGGGGTTATGTTTGATATGGCAATACAAACACACATGCAACATGCTAAATCAAAATAAATAAATAAATAAATGCTCACCTAGTACTCTGAGGCAAGCCAAAGAAATAAAATAATTAAAAAAATGCAAGGTCCTAAATATGCAAAGTGACTAATGAAACGCATACAAAATGCAACTACTAGGTTTGGTTTATTTAACATATCATATGGATCAATTCAAAGCATGCGCAACGCACGTAGTCAAGTAAACAGGAAATGACAATGATATTAGAATGATGAACCAAACCAAAATGCATGTGAAAATAGATACAAGTCATGGAAATGAAAAAGAAAATATGATGCTATATAACTACGGTAAGCATGTAAATAAAACGGAGAAAGAAATGGGGGTTGGAAGACATACACCAATTATTACAAATTTGCCCTCGTACAAGAGGGTCCGAATGTTTGAATGTTCTAATTAATTACAAATCCGAATGATTAAGTACCTAATTTACTACAACAATAATATATAAAGAATGAACAAGAATCATATGTGCGCTGATGAAGACAGTCCTCATAAACTGCTCTGTCTTCCATCTAGGAAACTGCTATGTTTCACCTTCAGCCACTGCTCTATGTTTTCAGCAAACTGCACTATCTACCATACTTTGTAGATTGGCCGGCCCACAAAGAGGTTCGGCTGGATCCAAAGAAATCCGGTCGTGCCCTATTTTTTGGTAAAAAGACGATTTTGTACACTGAGGTAAAAACAGTGTAAACAGAGTGCTTCTAAGAGATGTTTATCCTTTCTATTGCCCTTCCCTATCATGAAGATATTCAAGGGAGGAGTAGATTCACTTCTCGAATCATCAACCAATGCAAATTTGTTACATGATGATCTTTAGAAGCAAATAGGATAAGAATTTAATAAACAAAATAAAAAGACAAACATTACATTCTTCCTATCATGAAGTTAATTGAAAAAAGGGGGTAAACATGCTTCTGGAACCATCAAACATCACTAATTTAGTATGTGATGATTCTAGAAGCGACAGATTCAGTTACTCCGATTTTATTATAGTTTTATTACCCTTTTTACTTTACCTTTCCATTTCTTATCTTTTCTTCATTTTTGTCCAATAGTGATGTTTCAAGGGTAGTTGATACTCAAAACCCACACCACTACCCGAATCCCATGCTCAAGGGTAGTTGAGCCCTTGCTTACCTAGTGTCCTCACGGTATTTTCTCTCTCACCCTTTATATCTCTATTTTTCCTCCTCTCAATCTCTCTCTCAAAATCTTATAATCCACATGACTATTTGTAATAGTCTACCTATAAGAGTCCTAGTTCCATACAATTAGATAACCAAATTCCACACATATTAAGTTTCTTAATAGATTTTCGGACTCAACTATCCTAATGCAAAAATATGTATAAACCAACCTAATGATCATATAGGACCCACATTTATACATGGGTGGACTAATCCTAACAAAAATCACCCTCAATATGCACATCCGACGTACCCAATTCATGCGCAGCAGAAACACAGTCAGCCTCAACCCAAAAAGGAAGCTTCTCAGACAAGTATGCCATCACTTCCCCTTTGAAATTTCGGACTATCACCCCTATCTCAACATTATGGAGTTGGGTCAAATGATATGTCTTTTGTAGGCTAATTTAAATGCTTTCAAGACATTATGGAGTTGGGTCAAATGATATGTCTTTTGTAGGCTAATTTAAATGCTTTCAAGACATTATGGAGTTGGGTCAAATGATATGTCTTTTGTAGGCTAATTTAAATGCTTTCAAGACATTATGGAGTTGGGTCAAATGATATGTCTTTTGTAGGCTAATTTAAATGCTTTCAAGACATTATGGAGTTGGGTCAAATGATATGTCTTTTGTAGGCTAATTTAAATGCTTTCAAGACATTATGGAGTTGGGTCAAATGATATGTCTTTTGTAGGCTAATTTAAATGCTTTCAAGACATTATGGAGTTGGGTCAAATGATATGTCTTTTGTAGGCTAATTTAAATGCTTTCAAGACATTATGGAGTTGGGTCAAATGATATGTCTTTTGTAGGCTAATTTAAATGCTTTCAAGACATTATGGAGTTGGGTCAAATGATATGTCTTTTGTAGGCTAATTTAAATGCTTTCAAGACATTATGGAGTTGGGTCAAATGATATGTCTTTTGTAGGCTAATTTAAATGCTTTCAAGACATTATGGAGTTGGGTCAAATGATATGTCTTTTGTAGGCTAATTTAAATGCTTTCAAGACATTATGGAGTTGGGTCAAATGATATGTCTTTTGTAGGCTAATTTAAATGCTTTCAAGACATTATGGAGTTGGGTCAAATGATATGTCTTTTGTAGGCTAATTTAAATGCTTTCAAGACATTATGGAGTTGGGTCAAATGATATGTCTTTTGTAGGCTAATTTAAATGCTTTCAAGACATTATGGAGTTGGGTCAAATGATATGTCTTTTGTAGGCTAATTTAAATGCTTTCAAGACATTATGGAGTTGGGTCAAATGATATGTCTTTTGTAGGCTAATTTAAATGCTTTCAAGACATTATGGAGTTGGGTCAAATGATATGTCTTTTGTAGGCTAATTTAAATGCTTTCAAGACATTATGGAGTTGGGTCAAATGATATGTCTTTTGTAGGCTAATTTAAATGCTTTCAAGACATTATGGAGTTGGGTCAAATGATATGTCTTTTGTAGGCTAATTTAAATGCTTTCAAGACATTATGGAGTTGGGTCAAATGATATGTCTTTTGTAGGCTAATTTAAATGCTTTCAAGACATTATGGAGTTGGGTCAAATGATATGTCTTTTGTAGGCTAATTTAAATGCTTTCAAGACATTATGGAGTTGGGTCAAATGATATGTCTTTTGTAGGCTAATTTAAATGCTTTCAAGACATTATGGAGTTGGGTCAAATGATATGTCTTTTGTAGGCTAATTTAAATGCTTTCAAGACATTATGGAGTTGGGTCAAATGATATGTCTTTTGTAGGCTAATTTAAATGCTTTCAAGACATTATGGAGTTGGGTCAAATGATATGTCTTTTGTAGGCTAATTTAAATGCTTTCAAGACATTATGGAGTTGGGTCAAATGATATGTCTTTTGTAGGCTAATTTAAATGCTTTCAAGACATTATGGAGTTGGGTCAAATGATATGTCTTTTGTAGGCTAATTTAAATGCTTTCAAGACATTATGGAGTTGGGTCAAATGATATGTCTTTTGTAGGCTAATTTAAATGCTTTCAAGACATTATGGAGTTGGGTCAAATGATATGTCTTTTGTAGGCTAATTTAAATGCTTTCAAGACATTATGGAGTTGGGTCAAATGATATGTCTTTTGTAGGCTAATTTAAATGCTTTCAAGACATTATGGAGTTGGGTCAAATGATATGTCTTTTGTAGGCTAATTTAAATGCTTTCAAGACATTATGGAGTTGGGTCAAATGATATGTCTTTTGTAGGCTAATTTAAATGCTTTCAAGACATTATGGAGTTGGGTCAAATGATATGTCTTTTGTAGGCTAATTTAAATGCTTTCAAGACATTATGGAGTTGGGTCAAATGATATGTCTTTTGTAGGCTAATTTAAATGCTTTCAAGACATTATGGAGTTGGGTCAAATGATATGTCTTTTGTAGGCTAATTTAAATGCTTTCAAGACATTATGGAGTTGGGTCAAATGATATGTCTTTTGTAGGCTAATTTAAATGCTTTCAAGACATTATGGAGTTGGGTCAAATGATATGTCTTTTGTAGGCTAATTTAAATGCTTTCAAGACATTATGGAGTTGGGTCAAATGATATGTCTTTTGTAGGCTAATTTAAATGCTTTCAAGACATTATGGAGTTGGGTCAAATGATATGTCTTTTGTAGGCTAATTTAAATGCTTTCAAGACATTATGGAGTTGGGTCAAATGATATGTCTTTTGTAGGCTAATTTAAATGCTTTCAAGACATTATGGAGTTGGGTCAAATGATATGTCTTTTGTAGGCTAATTTAAATGCTTTCAAGACATTATGGAGTTGGGTCAAATGATATGTCTTTTGTAGGCTAATTTAAATGCTTTCAAGACATTATGGAGTTGGGTCAAATGATATGTCTTTTGTAGGCTAATTTAAATGCTTTCAAGACATTATGTAGCAACATATCAGATAATAACTGAACATTCTTGCAGGCTTGCCGCAATTCAAGGTGTACTGCCTTCTCAAAAGGATCACTTGAAAGAATTGTGTTTGCGGAGACGGTAAAAATCTAATTTATCCTACCAAAAACGTAACTTCTCATGTGGAAATAGGGCCTATTTGGTAATGTCTTTTGTTTTTCTGTTTTTTGTTTTAAAAAATTTTGAAAAATGGAAACAAAAACAAGTTGGTTAATCTTAAAGGTGGCATACCGCAACTTCCCATTTGGGCTTTTCTTGTCAGCCGGGTACAAGAAGATTCCTCCATAAAGCAGAGTACGGTGAACATCTGCTACCATACTGCATGAAGTTGAGCAATTTACTAAAAACTATACGAGTCCCAGAAAGTGAGGAAAGTTTACTCGCATCAAAACAATTATATACATACATGCACACACATGTATATAATTGTTTTGATGCGAGTAAATTTTCCTCACTTTCTGGGACTCGTATAGTTTTTAGTAAATTGCTCAACTTCATGCAGTATGGTAGCAGATGTTCACCGTACTTTGCTTTATGGAGGAATCTTCTTGTACCCGGCTGACAAGAAAAGCCCAAATGGGAAGTTGCGGTATGCCACCTTTAAGATTAACCAACTTGTTTTTGTTTCCATTTTTCAAAATTTTTTAAAACAAAAAACAGAAAAACAAAAGACATTACCAAATAGGCCCTATTTCCACATGAGAAGTTACGTTTTTGGTAGGATAAATTAGATTTTTACCGTCTCCGCAAACACAATTCTTTCAAGTGATCCTTTTGAGAAGGCAGTACACCTTGAATTGCGGCAAGCCTACAAGAATGTTCAGTTATTATCTGATATGTTGCTGGCCTTTCCCAAGGGACAATCCCAAAATCATCGTTGTACTTTTCCATTTCTCCAACCAAGAACTGCCACACAAAAGATCCTGCGCCGGACTTCTTTCTCTTGGAAGATTTGTACATGATGTCATAAATAATTTTGTAGAACTGGTCCCGCTGAGATGGCTTGAAACCCTTATTCAAATTTGACAAGCCGAATTCTGTGAATGTGACTGGTTTCTTCAGTTCTCTATCACCATCTTCAATATGAGAAACCATCCATTTGGAGACATATTTTAGTTTCTCTTCAAGTTCTTGGTCATGAAACCTACAAAAATAGGTCATAAAATTGGTATCAGCTGATAATCAAGTAAAGTGACAGGCTAGTGAACTCTTTTCATATTTTAGTAATTTTTTTTTTTAGATGCACCTAGAAAGTAACAAATTTGTGAAGAAATCTAAAAAAAAGCTAGTTCTAGTTCTTTTCTTTTCTTTTTCCTTAATTTTTTGTCTTTAGTGAATTTTTTTTAGTGAACTTTTCTTACAGATTTCTTCACAAATTTGTTTCTTTTCTAGGTGGATTTAAAAATTAAAAAAATTAACTAAAATATGAAGAAATATACTAAAATAAAATTTAAAAAAACTCAAAAAACAAAAACTCGAATAGTTTTTGAGTTTCAAAACCAAAGGTAGTTTTGAAGCATAACATCTACGAGCCTACGGCCACCTTGAAGCAGACCTCAAACAGAGAACCACGGGGACTAGAGCACCTCCTGATGTGATTTTGCTTCAAAAGAAGAAAATATGTTTTTTTTTTTTTTTTCTCTCAAGCAGCCAGGGATATTGCTTCATTTCCTCAAATAACTTTAAATTCTAACTTCGTAAGGTTTCAATCTTGATAGTATACAAAGTTGAACATTAAGTAACTTTAAATTCTAACTTCGTAAGGTTTCAATCTTGATAGTATACAAAGTTGAACATTAAGCTTACCAATGATCAGGGTAGATATGAACAGAGGCAAAATCAATGGTTGAGATCTTGGAGTTGCGAATAAAATCAGATCCAAGTTCAGCTGCCCATTCTCCTGGGTTGACAGTCAGCCTTTTTGGACTCTTAGGACCATAGAATCCTTCAAGTCCCACTGTTACTAGATGGTTCTTGTCAATTGATTTCACGTAGGTCGACATTTCTTCTATCCAGTCCTGCAATTATATGCCATACAGTTCGTCATACTCAGACATCAATGAACAACCATAGAAGAGAATCTGTCTCTATCCATCCATCTACAAGCGATGTACTAAAGCCTAAGAAGCACAGACACTTCTAAGAAGCTGACATATCCATGTTGTGTCGGTGTCGGACACCAACACTCTTTGAACACTTTCCCAATACGTATCCGACACTCTTCAAAACGTATCATATTTTTTAATTTTTTTTAAAGACCTGGACACTCTTTGGACATTTGGATGACAAATGTCTGTCAATTAGACACAGGTGAAACTAATTATAAGTTTGAACAAAACTTAAAATATAATAGTAAACAAAGGTGAAACTAATTATAAGTTTGAACAAAACTTAAAATATAATAGTAAACAAATACTATATAAATTTATAGGAATTAGAGCCATATTACATTTTTTATTATCTTCAAATGATATATTCATATATATAATAATATAGCATATAAAAAATAAAAATAAAAATTATATTTTGCATGCGTGTCCCCTCATATCGTGTCCTGCATTTTTTAAAAATTAATGTGTCGATGTGTCCGTGTCGTATTACGTGTCCGTGTCCATATCCATGCTTTTTAGACTAAAGCATTTAAAAAATAATAAATAAATAAATAAAACTCAAAAATGTATGCATATGAATTGTTGATTAGGAAAAAAAGGGTGCATTTAGAACTTATGCAATTATAGGAGAAAGGAAATCAAAACACACACACACACAAGAAAAAGGATTTAGCAATTTCAGACTGAGGGTTCCCTATCAAGATTTAGGCTCCACATTAAGTAATTCACAAAAATTTGACCAGAGTACTGTGATTTTTCATGACACAAACATATCAGGAAAAAAGAAGAACAAAGAAAAAAGGAGCAAAGAAGAAGCAATTGCACTAGAACGGTACCCCCATTCCTGTGTGCACAGTGGCATTTAATAATAACATTAGCACCGGCATACCCATCAATTTACTAAAGTTTTGTTTTGAATATTACAAAAACATAAGGTTCGGGGAGAAATTGGCGAAGAAGGCATATAATAGGACAAATTAATAAAGACTTCACCAAATTCTAAACATTCTAAAAACTATGTTTAGAATAAAACTCAGGGAGATTTGAGATATTATTTAATTGTTAGGAACTTCTTCAAATACACAGAAGTTTGAAACCTCATTAGATGCTTTATCCTTATTTAAATGAAGAAATAGGCATCTTCTAAATTTCTATATTGATACTCATCCAGAATAAAGCAATGCAAGGAGTTCATGACTTACTTGCAGAGTATCGCCTGAAGGATCACTCATGCAACGGGGCTCGTTTATTAACTCCCACGCAAAGATAGTTGGATCATCCTTATATTTAGTTCCAGTAATAGTGTTCTTCCTTGTCAGCAAAGTCTGCATGAGAGAAATTTAACTGCACTGGTCAAATTTTTTTTAGAGAAATATCATGCTTCATGTTTCAATTAATATAAACTTGATGTGTTCCAAAATTGCAGTATCTATATCTAAATCTTACTGATGCAGCACTACAATGGTAAGCCTGACAAACCAAGACAGTGCTATTGTACTCTTATATATGACTTGACCCAAATGTGTGGAAAATCATAAAGCATGCAAAGAAGAGATAAATTCCCAATGATTGAATGCAATGGGGATGGAATTTATAGAAGTGCTTGTGACTCTTCTGAAGAATTATGACTCTTCTAAATAATAAAGGGTTGCACCCTTTCATCCGAATGGACACCATGTTGGGTTGCATCTTTCTAACAAAAAGTCTCAACTTCTATGGAGTTAATTTCCATTCACACTAAAAATTTCCATTGGCTAGGTTGGGTACTTCATATATTCGAGTCTGTTAGTGTTGATTCTCTTTACATGCATCTTTTCTTGTATTCATTGAGAGGTAAGGCTCATTACATCCCCTTCTCGGTTTTGGATTATTAATAAATTTCTCCTCGTGCTGCCAAAGATACCATATATATATATATATTTGATTGGGTTTTGACTATTATTCTAACAAAACCTAAGAACATCCAGTGTAATTTTATTTGGTCCATTGCATTTTACAAATCATTTGACCCAACTCCATAATGTCTTGAAAGCATTTAAATTAGCCTACTTGTTTCTCTTATGCTTCAAAAAATGGAGAAAAACTCCCTACTTAAGCACTTAAAATTACGTAGGCATAGAAAACTGTTTATGTCAATGTGTTGAGTGTGAGTATTTTATGAGACAAGTCAAGTAGTTAAGCTGTCCAAATTCTGAAAGCCAGATAGGAATGGAGTGATCTGATTTAGGAAAGTTCAAAATCAGGTGCAATGTTAATATCCCTAAATTTTCCTTTTATCTTCTTTAATCTCTTGGAACTTCTTTTTTGATGACGAGGAACCCCGACACCAATCTTCGATGAGACCTGAGGTAAAACCCCAAATATGTGCAACCATCTGCTACTCTAGGATCTTCTTTGCACTCACACAGGTTTGTCTGTTGTTGTTATGAGAATTTGGACCATGAATTAGAGTGTCTAAATGAGAAAAAACATTTAACACTCCCACAATTGTCGACTTTTTGATGCATGAAAAACAAATTATTATTTCCTTCAATTTTTAAAAAGAGACTCAAAATTCTCATTGAAGTGCTATAAAAACAGTTTTAGGAGCTATTGATCAAGATAAAATCATGAGAACTCAAAAGCAACATCCAAAGGCTTCTTATTGAAGAAGAGGGGGAAAAAAGATTCCAAACAAACTGAAGAGATAGACACAATATTACCTTGACATGATTCTTGAAATAATGCCGAATTGATGGATCAAAGAAGAATGAATCATTCAAAGAGTTCAAACCTATACCTTCTTCCCATGCCCACTTGACATATTGAGTCTTCCCACCATATGCCTGCAAGTTATTAACTAAGCTAAGTAGCAGCCGAACTCCGTGTTGCCTGGCTTCTGCAATGACATGATCCAATGCCTGCCATACTATTTTGTCATTAAAATGAAAAAAAGAAATTTGGGACAATAATAATAAATGATCATGCAACATGATGATATTAACCAAAGTAAAAGAATTCAAGTATTGGCAACAGTTTGGCAGTTTTATTAATCCGGGATAAATTAAACAGATTTAACAATCCATGGGCCATTGGGCCATGTTCATGACTCGGTACAATTTAAGAAATACTTGAATTAATGAATGTCGAGATTCATTGTGTGATATGTCAACAAAGTTCAGTAAATTTTGCAGATTTACAGGATTGATGGGTGAAACCAGAAAAAATGAAAAAATAAAAACAAAAAACAAAAAACCAAAAAAAACGTGCCAACAAACCAAATTAATGTTTCCATTTCACACCAGCTTGTTTGGGGACTATAACAAGAAATAATCATGTAATGTAATGATATTAACCAAAATAGAAAACTTCAACACAAAAATTTGGCAGTTGTATTTAATTAGGGATAAACTAAACAGATTTAACAATCCATTGGCGATGTTCGTAACTTCGTACAATTTAAGGAAATACTTTAATTAACATATATTTTAGACTTCATTTTTTTAATATTTAATTTCCTTTTATTCTTCTAGAAATGTCAAGACTTATGTGTGATAGGTCAACAAACTTCATTAAATCTCGCAGCTGCACAGGGTTGATGGATGAACCCGAAAAAATGATAAAATGAAAAAATAAATAAATAAAAGAGCAATGTCATCCCAACAAACCAAATTAATGTTTCCATTTGACACCAACTTGTTTTGTTCATAGGCAAATTGTCATACATAAAATAAAAAAAATAAAAATAAAAATAAAATAAAAAAAGAAGAAGAAGAAGAAGAAGTTCATGACAGAATATCAGTCCTCCCTCCATTACTCAAAATGTGGTCATTTCAGCTCAATTCAAGTTATCATCACCTCTTACTTGAACCACAAAATAAAATATATATATATGTCTACACTAGGAGAGTGAAACACACATATAAGAGGAGGTATAATTGAATGACAATTACAAGAAATTTGTTTTACCTTGAATACGCGTTCATCGTATTGACCAGGGGAAATCTGAAGGGCATTGTAGACACCATCATTGAAGGCCCAAGTTCGACATACAGTGAGACCCATCTTGGCACCAGCTTGCAACATTGCTCTGATCCTGGGTCTTCTGTATTCATCCACAGCATGGTCCATTAACCAGTAAGAGTTCCACCCATTAATGTAGAACACTCTACCATCCAAAATGAAGTGAGTCCCATTCCTCTGTACAAAACTCAACTGTGGTTCTCTGGGGTAATTCGGCCACAAGTCCCCAAATGACAAGTACATGAATGCAAAACATGATGCAAATCCAATAATTGGGTAAAACAGCCCATTTCCTGATACCATTCTTTGCCTTTGTCTTGATGATTTAACAACCATACAAAAAATGAAAGAAATTAAAAGTGAATCTTCTTCAATAATATACCCTCTGGGCTCCAAATCTACAAATTGTCAAATTCATAGATTACCCAGATGGGGATCAGGTCTTTCTAGACCCTAAATCTTGAAAACCCAGATGTGAACAAGACGTTCAAGGGCACCTAGATCCCCAAAAAGCACTAAAATGATCAATGAGGCTGAGAATATCAGAGATCCATATGGAATTGCATCATATACATGTAAATTCTGTTGATGGGGTTTTATAAAGAGGAGTGTGGTGCTGTTGTTGGTGGTGGAAATGGAGGAAGGTGAGGTCAAATGGGGAGGGAAAGCACACCTAAAATATGGCCCCCATGAAGACTGAAAGAATCAAGGAAAAAGTGAGGAGTGAGGGATGAAGAAGAAGATATTCGTGTGAGGTGGGTGGAATGTTGGCATCTAGCAGATGTTGGCCTAATGAGATCTGTGTTCTTGTTTTTCAACAAATATTATTAAACTCATTCAACACTCCTGGGCCATATATCTATGATATCTCACTCTTGTTTTAATCATTTTTTTATTCAATAATGTTATATGGATAAATTAGTATATTAAATAGTATATCAATTAATAATATGATATAATTTTTTTTAAAAAAAATTAGGATTTATAATGTAATTAATAAGTAAGATGAATAATAATATCATAACTAATATTAATACATCAATTATATATGTCCGTAACACTACTACTTTTTATTTGATTTTGCATATTTTAAAACATTTCTAGTCTCATCATGTGCAATGCCCCATTTTGATACTCTACTTAGGCTTGGTTTGACATGTTTAAAAAAAGTCACAAAATTAAAAAGTTACTATCCTATTTAAATCACATCATTTTATTTAAGTCATATTACCTCTCTAACAGATCACTTCAAACTCAACTCAAACACAACACATATTTCATAAAAAGTCAAAAAATATACTTATTTAGATCATTCCAAACAATCCTTAATGAGACTTTATAGATTTTTTTTTTGGCACATTAAACATTTTAAACATCATTAAAATATGCATACAAAGGAAAAATTAGTTGGCACATACGCGGTATTTTTCACCAATTACGATATATTGGCCTTGTTTAGTTTGTGTTTTTCAAAAAAAATTAGAAAAAATTCTCTACAAATAAGTTTTTAAAAGTAATCAAACTAAACAAATTTTTCTAAAATTTTTTTCCAAAACTTATTTGGTTTACAAGTTTTCCAAACAAATCTCTCTCATACATATCAAATCAATCACTTTTTTCAAAACTCTCTCTCAAAATAATTTTTCAAAACATCTTTTGAAAAAAAATCAAACCAAACAAATTTTCGTACTTTTTATCTCAAAACATGTTTCTCAAATGCAAACCAAACAAACTAATTATATTTTTTTTATTCTTCAATTATTTAATATAAAATTAACAATTCTACTTCTTTTATTACTCCCTCCGTCTCATAATATTAGTCCCTTATTCCATTTTTCATTGTCCCAAAATATTAGTCCCTCTTCAAAAATCAAGTACAAAAATAATATAAATTTCCCATTTTGTCATTCTTTTAAATTCATAAATAATATAAAAAGTACAATCATAACATTGATATTCTCAAAAAAGTGTACTATCAAAGGGTAATTTTGGAAAACTAACTTTTTAAAAGTACAATAATTGTACTACCAAAAAAAGTTAGATTCCTTGAAAGGAACCATTATTTTGGGACGGAGGGAGTAATCAAAACGTTATTAGAATACTGCATAAGGGTCGCAAGGACAATGATAACTACTCCAGACAAAGACTTCTACAATTTTCAAAGTCTTTTTTCCTCTCTAATATGAGTTAATGAGTGCGGACAAATTAGTTGCACCGTTTCCTGATTTCCTTTAATTTTATTTTTCTTCTACATTTTTTGTTATTAATTATTGCCTCTTTATTTTTATTTATTTTTTCATTTTTTTCAATTTAAATTCGTTTGGAAAATTGTTTATAAAACCATTTTTTATTTTTCATTTTATTTTAAATAACTCACTTTTAGGCATTATTAGCTGAAAATTTGGAAAGAAAAAGAAAAACACATGAGAAATATGAAGTAATTTTTTTTTTTAAATTTCTCTCATTTCTCTTTTTCTTTTTAAATTTTTATTTAAATTCATAATTTAATACACTCTTAAAAAATAAAAAAATATTTTTAAACTTTTAAAAACTATATTTAAGTAAAAATAAAAAAGATTATTGTTTTCACTTTTTTGTTATTCTTGTTTTAAAAAAAATTGAATAAAATGAAAATCTAACACAACCAAACAGGGGTTATTGGATCAAATAAGCAACAGATCATCAACACCAATCAGTTTAAAGCCTAAGTGCACTTTTTATTTGATTAATGTGTATTTAGAAAAAGTCTCCCATGGACTGGCCCACATAAGCCTTCCCTGCAGTGATTTTCTATTCTTTTCTTTTTCTCTGTTTTGGTCCTTGCTTCTAATAGTGATCATGTGGTTACTTTAATGAATGAAGGGCCACGTGGGCCATTCTTGTCGATTGGATCTTTTGTTCATATTATTCTCTAACATGTCGGTTGAAATACCCCTAATAAAATTAGAAATAGCTTATCCTTTGTTTGTTTGGTTATATTGTGGTTGTTTGGAAACTTATTATTTTAGTAAGTTATTTTAGTTTTTGACTATTTTAATAGGCTAAATTCTTTATATTTGAGAAGGTAATTAGATTTTTTTATAGTTGGATGTAATGTTTATGAGAAAAAAAGTAAAGTGATTATGAATTTGATGTGATATTTTATCTTATTAGATATTTTAATCTATTTTGTCTTTTTGTGAATTTTAGCCTAAAAGAGACTAAAATTTTTCTTCCCAAACATCCCCGTTGTGGTAATGTAGACTAGGATTGATATAAAAAAATAAAAAATAAAAAATAAAAAAATTTGTTTGAGAACTCAGTTCGAATAATAAAATGAGGAAAAAAAACTATTGACTGCAAAATCTCTAGGACGACAATCTTGATTACGTTATGAAATGAGTAAAAATTAACAAAGTCTTGATGAGTAAAAAATGAGTAAAAATTAGCAAAGCTAGTCCAATACTAGGTCCACTTTGAGATTGGGCTAGATTGAAGCTCGGCCCTATGGCCAACACCTGTCTTGAAGTAGGACAATCATTAAAGCTTGGTCAAATGCATGAGTGCCACTCCGAAGTAGATACTAGAAAGCTTGGCCCAACGTACAAGGCTCACTTCAAAGCAGACCAAGCAACAAGTTGGACCTCCAGATTAGACAACCACTCTGAAGTGGATTAACTTGGCAAAGGTTTTTCTTGAGCTCACAAGAGACAAACAACTATGCTCCTCTTCGTCTATCTGAACATAATGTGGAGACATGGAGGCTCAGAGGGATAAGGTGCACACATGACAGACTTGCACCTGAGTGTTAGGCAGAGCAGTCATCCTCCTCCAATGGGAGATGATCACGAATAAGACAAACAGGACAAACCTGCACTTGAGTATCAGGCGGAGTGATCGTTCTTCTTTAATGAGAGATGACCACGAATAAGACAAATATGACAGATCGTAGAGATAGAAGGTCTTGGAGGATAAGCAACATTCTCCTATAAAAGGTGAGCACTATTCACCCTCAAGGCATCCGAAATCCTTACACTTAACATATACACTCTTTGATTCTCTCTTCTTTTTCTCCCCCAGTCCCTAACTTTACCATCAAAGGGATTTCTGACCAAACCCAGGTCGGGAAGCCTCATCGTTTATTACTCTGTGGATATATTCACTTCCCAAAGCACATTGTTCTTCCGCGAAGTTCTACTTCATAGTGCGGGAATTACTCTCGCACACGCTACTTCAAAACGAATGACTTTTTTACACTTCGAGTCGCGTTATAATTATTGTTTTCCTAAAGACAATATTACCTCCCACTAGATTACACGAGTTACCAGCAAATCAGCTTTCATTATATAAGGAAGTTGATCTAAGGATCTTCTATCTGCGTTTGCACAAACGAAGATAGATAAAAGTACTTTCGTACAAAACAAAAATAAAAAAATATTGGAGTCTGATATTTTGTTTCTAAAAAATAACAAATTATCATAGAAATGAAAGCTCTCAATTGAAAACTAAAAATCAAGAGAGAGAGTGAATTTTAGAACTTTGAATTTTGTTGGCTTGGAATGAAAACTCGAAATTAGAAGAGAGAGCGAATTTTAGAGTTCTGAATTCTGTTGGCTTGGAATGAATTAAATTTGCCTGATCATAGGCCTATTTATAAACTTGAATGCACCGAATTATAAGATCATGATCCTTGATCGTACCTCACCAGACTTGACTATTGGATCAAGTGTTGATGATCCGAATTTTGTCATAGCTAAATAGGTGAAATGATGAGGCACACCTAATCACGATCAAGTGTGATCAACACCATACGATCATGCATCTAGATGATCAATGACCATGATCACATTGACCATGTTTGACACGCAACCATTCAGTTGGGTGTGCCACTTCATCATCATATGGTGACTGTGTTCTACATTAGTGCCACCACATGTTGCCTTAGACCTTGCCACATCGTCGTCGCACATGAACATTCTAAACCCTTCATATCATGCACATAAGTGCAAAGTGTGCCATTAAACGCCACACAACTCACGCTACACGAATATGCGAATGGTACATTATCCTTGCAGTGTGTAAGTATACACTGTAGCACCTTTCCCACAATTATTTATTTAGAAGAATATTTCATGTGGATGTTTATTAGCTGACTAATTCTATTTTCACACACCATTCACTATTTATGCACACACTTAATGAATTAAATTTTGATTACAATTTTATCACTAAATAAAATGACCACTATAGACATCGATACACACACCAAATCTTGAAACTCAGTTTTCCTATACACATCTTTTGATGAGAGAGAAAAAAAACACACACACACACACACACACTTAGAATACATCACATTATGATTTACATTGTTCCTACATTATTTCTCACTCCCTCCATTGTTACACTCTATTGTTCCTAATGTTATTTTTTTATTTGTGTGATGGAATATTTGCAAAACAATGAAAGATCAAATTTAGAGAAGAATATAATTGTTTACAATTAATGTAGTAATGAAAATGTGAGTTTTTATGTGTGGAAGTTTTTTCCTTGATGATCCTCATTTGACAAACCAGTGTTGAATAGGTGCATCCGATTCTGAAATCAACAATCAAAATTATTTTGAAATTTAACTTATGAAATATCTAACTTCATTCAGTTTATACTGTTTAGATGTACAAAATTGAATGGGTTTAAATCGTTTGATAGTTGTGTATCGAACGAAACTATTTGGTTTGAATGTTGATTGTCGATAAGATCAATTGGTTTCGAAATATCAGTATTGAATAGGTTATTTTGTTTCTTCGTCAACCAACATTAAACCACTATTGGACAAGATAAAAACTATAGATTTTTTTTTTTTTGCAAATTTATTATATAATAACCACAAAATAGGCTGATAATAATCACCAAAGTTTGAGAATGTAACGGAGTTTAATGTAGGTGTAACGCCCTGACCCTTTACACGTCATCGATACTGTCCGCTTTGGGTCACGCCCGCACGGATTTGTTCTTCCCAGTGGGTCACCCATCCTAGAACTACTCCAGCCTAAGCACGCTTAACTGGGGAGTTCTAATAGGGATTTCACCACTTGAAAAAAGGCCTCGATGCTATATAAGGGTCCAGGTTATTACTTTTATAGCCCAAGAACTCCCCCTCCATTCCCGATGTGGGACACCGGGGCCTTACAATCCACCCCCCATAAGGCTGCACATCCCCGTGCAATAGCCCGCCAGCTCGCAAGCCCGCCCACATGCACCGAGAAACGCCAGGGGCCCACACTCGGTACTCCGGAGAGTCGGCTCTGATACCATTTGTAACGCCCTGACCCTTTACACGTCATCGATACTGTCCGCTTTGGGTCACGCCCGCACGGATTTGTTCTTTCCAGTGGGTCACCCATCCTAGAACTATTCCAGCCTAAGCACGCTTAACTGGGGAGTTCTAATAGGGATTTCACCACTTGGAAAAAGTCCTCGATGCTATATAAGGGTCCAGGTTATTACTTTTATAGCCCAAGAACTCCTCCTCCATTCCCGATGTGGGACACCGGGGCCTTACAGTAGGTCTTTAATGGAGCCAGAGAATTGTAAGAAACGTGTTGAAGAATCGCTAGATATGTTAGGATTTCGTATGTGATGTGTGTACATGTGTTTTGTGTGATATGTGTACAAATTATGAGTTAATGGTGTATTCAAAATGTTTGGCATGAGGAGTAAGAAAGACAAAATGTAACCAAGTTTATAAATTTATGAATTGAGAAATGATGCGCACAAAAAGTAAATAATGTATGAAAATAGAATTATCTTTATTAAATTGTTACTTTTCTCTTATGTTTTCAAGGTGGGACAAGCCATAATGCTAAGAGAATTTCCTAAAAAGGTTTTGAAAAATAAAAACAATAATATGTAAACCCATTTTATTTTTAAAAATTCCCCAACAAAAACACCACCTCGGCACTTGTGGAGTGACCTCTGATCATCATTCGGGCATCCTCTAGTGACTTTTGATGATAGTAAATTCTAATAATCCTTTGGCCACTCATGACTTTCGACATTCTTTTGGGAATAAAGATTGAGAGAAAATTATATTTTGATCTTGGATAAATTCATGTGGTGTACTAAGGCCTCGTTTGGGAACAAGTTTTTTTAGTAATTTTTTTACTTTTTGACTAAAATATGATGTAAAAAAAACTAATATGTTTGAGATGACTTTTTTGGCTTTTTAAGAAAAGATGTGTAAAAAATAGAGAGAAAAGAAAATCTTTGACTTTTTGGTATAGGTTGTTAGCTTTTTAATATTTTTTAATGACTTTTTAACTTTTTTACTAAAATAATCACTTGCCAAACGAGACCTAACTAGTGTTTTATTAATTAAAACAATAAGATTAATTTCTTTTATATTAATTTTAAAAAAGTAAGAGGACATATAACATAATATGAATGACGTGAACTACCAAATAACTTCTCTGATATGTCCGACTGTTTACTTTATGCCAATTTGATCTTTTTCTTTTATTTTTTTAAGATGGGGCTAATTGCATCCACTCTTCATATTCTGTGTGACGTGAAAAGAAAATATCTAGACTTTTTTTTGGATGACTCTCACACTTTTAAAGTGATTATAACACTCTATGTATGTGTGGAGCTCATTTATATATGTGCAGGTCCATATTATGAGTGGTTTAAATTTGTGGGGATCTTGTAGGGGTGGGGTCTCAATCATTACTTTGAAGTTTATTTGTTTTAGAATTGAATTGAGTCAGTTTATTTTCTCTATTTTATACAAATTAAAAAAGGGTAAATACATATTTGACACCCCTAGCATTTTACAATAAATGTTCTATTAGGTTTTCAGTTTTTTAATAATAAACAATTAATTCTTAAGCTTATATAATCCAATTGTATTGTTATTCTTAGAGATAGGCAATAGTTTATCCGATCCGCAAAAACCGCCAAACTCGCATACAAATGGGCGGTTTCACAAATATAATACGGGAGGATGCGGTTTGAAATATGGCATCTTTGCAGGTTGTGAGTTTAACCCGCACCCGCAAGAAACCGCCCGCACTTTATTTATTTATTTATTTTTATCTTAACTATTGATTTCATTTCTATATCCCACCTAGATATTTTTGTCCAAAACAAAACACTCTTTATTTTTTGAACTTACTCTAGTATTACATTTGCTAATAGTATTATATCAACTGAAACTGAATAAATATTGATTATATTATTATTGTTACATAACTGAACTTGTCCCAGATAAAGTGTGATTTGGAATTTTAAATTCCTTAATGAATATGGAGTTATAGTTTAAGATTTTGAAATATATGCTTGTGTTAGTTTATAATTTGATTTAAGATTTTGAATGATTTGCTTGTGTTATGAATGAATTTTGTTGTATTTTTAATTTTATAAGTTTTAATTCACTAATTATTAATGTTTGAGCATTTTAGAAAATGGGGAGAAAAGAGCCCAAAATAAATATTTACAAAATGGGAAAAAAATAAGGCTCAAAAATAATTTTTTGAAGAAAAAAGTTCAATCCGCAAACCGCCTGCAACCTCCTGCACATCCGCGAACTCTATCCGCACAAACCGCAAACCGCACTGCGGGCGGTTGCGGGTTGTCTTTTTCCCAAACCGCATAGATGCGGGCGGGTCCAAACCGATCCGCAAACCGTCCAAATTTGAACCGCGAACACTCCTAGTTATTCTTATTATCATCTTATACAGAGATTTATACATGTGTCAAAGATGAATCAATGCTCTTAAATATTTGTATGGGCGTTGGTTTTTGATCTCACAACTAAACAGGGAACTTAGTAAGAGAGCACGCGGCAGAATAGATTAAACCAAGCACCTGTCAACAAGAAGACAAGAATACTACGGTGGCTTGTCCACCTGGGGGCACTCCGACAATCAAGTCAGTCACTTATCTCTCAAAGATATCAAATCAAGTATTCAGTGCATAAGTAAAAGCATACCTTAGACCCATGAGGTGCTCTCTTTATATAATGATTAGTGTCCTACTTCTCACTTCATGGGACTCTATTCTTTACAAGAATATCACTCATCTAAGACTTCTCTGATTTGAATTAAGATCAACCCTCTCAAGAGTCCAACATTATCCAAATAGAGAGTCTGTTATCATTTAAACTCTAGTCCTTCATTTGAATCTCGGATTATGTGTGGTTTGACCACACATCGACCAATCAGAATCATGCACGTGGCACTTTAACTAACTACCAAAGCTAAGTGGACAACTCAAAATTATGTCCCTACAATTTGCTAAAACAATTATATTTGGCTTTACAATGACTCAATGCTCATTTGTTTAATAGAAATATTGTTCATAATTAACAGTAAATAAATTTATTTAAGCAAAAAATATTTTCGCTTAAAAAAATGGGAATATGTTTTCAGAATAAAATCTTACCAATTTCATAACATTTTCATGGCTACCATCACCTTTATTAATACATCACTATCGTCACTACTACAACTACCACGATGCTATCATCATTGCCAACTCCATTGTTGTGGCTACTATCACTACTATCTCTATGTTTGTCCTGCTACCACTACTAATACAACTATTAGTACATTAATTTTAAAGATAAAATCAATATATATATATATATTTAAATTTAAAAAATAGTTTCTAAATATATATATATATATATCGCTAAAAATTATTTTCAATCAAAGCAAATAGTGGGTAAAAATTGTGGCCTCGAATGTGACTGCAATTTTTTCTTTTTTTTGTGCTTTTTATATAACTTACACGGATTCACCTCCTCTCCAGCGCGTTGCCGTCCAACTTCCTCTAGCCATTTCACCAGATAGAAACATGTGGCGACAACGGATTCGATGGCGAGAAGGGAGCCACGTCTGTGAAGCTCAAGAGACAAACAAAACGACGCCAAGCTCTATCATTTTGGCCAAACGGAGGTACGTAACAGAAAGTTTTTTTTTTTTTTTAATTTTGATTTACATATCTAATTCACATCCCTTCTCCCGCCTTTTTCATAAATTCAGAACCCAATCCCTCCCTCCATCTCTCTCTTTCTCAGAACCCATTCCTCTATCTACGATTCAGTTTTTTTTCCATTTGCAATCGATCGACGGTGGAAGGCTTCGGCATCCTTGGACTCCATCGTTTGAAAATCTTTGTTTACCTAAACAATTGTAGACACCAAAGGCCAGATTTATAGTATTTTATTCTTTTTTTTTTTTTTTGGTTCAAATCCATTCCAAGTGTATGATGAAATGTCTTAATGAATCATGGACTTGCAAACATGGGTGTGAATCATGATGGAAATCTGGAAGTTAGATGCTCATTTATAAGTTAGATGCTTATTTATATATGTTTGCTAGTCTGTTTGAGAACCCACCTAAAATCTGGAAGCAATAGTTTTCATGCTCATTTATATATGATCATCTATAAATGAGCATATATAAATCTCATTTATATATTTCACATATTTTACTGAACAGATTAGCAATAATCTGTCTGTTTGAGAACTCATTTTTATATGTTCATTTATATATGATACTCATAAATCTGGTAATTTTAGAGAACCCACCGAAAATCTGGTATGTATATGATGCTCATATTTCACTCTTAAGCAGAAACAGATTTGTCATATCAATCAATGTTAGGCTTTTAGATACTCCTGTAAAGTTTTTCTTTTAATTTAGGAGAAGACAATCATTTTTTCACAAATCAAATATTCAGAAAAAGAAAAAATTGATTTTGTAGATAGTATGAAACAGAACATTAATGTGTAAAACAAAGCCTCAATATTATTTAAGAACATTAAGCCATGTACTGCTTTAACATATTTCTTAGATAAAAAATGATGTTTACTTTTTTGCATTTTAGGTATTGGATATATCAAAGATGGATGATTTAACAATTGCTACGCAAATGGATGTTCATGGCAAGGATGGTACACAATGTAAATCCATATTAGGTATGGAATTTGACTCTAAACAATCAACTTATGAATTTTATAATTCTTATGGAGGAAGAGTTGGATTTAGTATTAGAAAAGAATATTCTCACAAAAGTAAGAGCGGTGAAATTAATACAAGGACATTTGTTTGTTCTAAGGAGGGTCTTAGAAAATTTGATAAAAGAGATTTTGCTGTAAGGATTCCTAGGGCAGAGACAAGGACCGGTTGTGGTGCTTTGATGAGGATTAAATTAATCAGGCAAATTGGGAAGTATAGAGTTATCAATTTTGTAGAAACACACAACCATCCCCTTGTAGTAAGTGCATGTGCTCATATGCTTTCCTCCCAAAGAAAAATTTCCACCTCTCAATATATTGAAATAGATTTGGCAAATGACTGTGGGATACCTCTTAGGTCATCCTATGAGTTAATGGGTAGAGAAGCAGGTGGAAGGGAATGTGTTGGGTTTTTGAAAAAAGGTCAAGAGGCATTTCACACCCATGTTTGCAAGTCCATGATTCATTGAGACATTTCATTATACACTTGGAATGGATTTGAACCCAAAAAAAAAAAAGAATAAAATACTACAAATCTAACCTTTGGTGTCTACAATTGTTTGGGTAAACAAAGATTTTCAAACGATGGCGTCCAAGGATGTCGAAGCCTTCCACCGTCGATCGATTGTAAATGGAAAAAAAACTGAATCGTAGATAGAGGAATGGGTTCTGAGAAAGAGAGAGGGAGGGAGGGATTGGGTTCTGAATTTATGAAAAAGGCAGGAGAAGGGATGTGAATCTGGATATATAAATCAAAATAAAAAAAAAATAAAAATAAAAACTTTCCGTTGCGTACCTCCGTTTGGCCAAAACGATAGAACTTGGTGTCGTTTTGTTTCTCTTGAGCTTCACAGACGTGGCTCCCTTCTCGCCCGTCGGATCCGTTGTCGCCACGCGTTTCCATCTGGTGGAATGGTTGGAGGAAGCTGGACGGTAAAGCGCTGGAGAGGAAGTGAATCCTACTTACACCTTGTTGGTTTAAGTTTTAACGTTACTTTTTTCAATTTAGTCTTTAATATTTCTAATTTTTTAATTAACAATTAACTGCTGTTCAATTTTGAATAAAAAATGCCACGCAACAAGATGCTACATAACAACAACACACTGTTATACAAATTTGAATAAATTATATCTTATCCCTTTTAAGTTTCAATATTTCCGTACTACCTTTAAAGTTTTTTTTCCCCTACTTGACCTTTAATTTATAAATTCTTTCAATTTTCTCTAATAGCCAACATCGATCCAAAATTGGACGAAGAATTTCATGTTGCTAACTCCGTACCATAATAATCCATAATCTAGTGCCCTCTCTACCACTCTATCTACTAACCCCCTTCACTTGTAAAATGGCTCTATTTGGTGCATCTTTTCTCAATGATAAAAATTAATCATTAGAAAATAAAATTTAAAAGCACCCAATTTTCATCTTCTAGATAATCAATTCTTTTTGCTTTATAAAAAGCAAAAATTACACTAAATACTTTAGTGCAAACTCCCAAAATCATAAAAATAAAATAAATTTTTTTTTAAAACAGTCTCTATAAATCATCACCATTAAAACTTCCACCCCTTCTTACTGTCAATTTTCCATCACCAACTATTGAACAATACCATCATCAACCTCCTACTTCACTTTCTTATTGACACCACCAACATCTCAAAACACCAACAAGCATCCACTATCTTCGTGCCTTCAAATCGACAACATCAAACACTATCATTGAACATGTCCCTCTTAAATGCATTTGGGAGAGGGAAAGTGATGATGGAATATGGGGTTAGAATTTGGGGGCAAAGTGGTTGTAATTTGTCCAATTTTAGACACACTTTGGTTGTTGGAGTAAATTAAATAAAAAAATAGAAACATTTAAGGGTCAAACAAAAAAAATTTAAAGACGAAGGTGAGAAATTATTGAAAGTCAAAAGGCAAAGTAAAATTTATTTAAATTTATATAATAATATGTCATTATGTTACGTGATTGTTGACATGGCATAGCGCGAGTATTAATGTGGCATTTTTTTGTTCAAAATTAGATAAAAAATTCATTGTAAAGTAAATAGGAAAAAATTAAAAGTTTTGAGCACCAAAGTAAGAAAAAATAAATATTAGGGAAAAAATAAAAAAATAAAAACTAAATTTTGAAGATGACGAAGTACAAACCTTTTTTCCTTCTTAGGCAGTGTTTGGGATTTGCCTTGATTTCTCGAAAAAATGTAATAATCTTTTAATGAAAAAAAGAAAGAAAGAAAGAAACACAAACTCAAGACAAAATGAGAAATGAATTTTGTAATTCTTAATTTATCTTTTAAAATTTTAACTGGTTGCATTTTGTAATAAGAGTCGTATATTCTGAGATTTACAAATCTTTTATCATTTTCTTGTACTAAGGACATTTTTTAATAAGACCTTATCATATGTAGTTATTAGATAGCAAAAAGTTAAGGAATTTTTAATTTAAGATTCTTAATATTAAGATTTTATAAGATAAAAGACATGCAACATTTTTGTTATAGTTGAGGTCCCTCAATATTTTCACAAATAAGAGAAATTGCCAACTATTGACAGAGAAATTTCTTTTTTCACATAGAAATTTCAACTCTTTACAAAGAAATTTCGGTTTCACTGAAGAATTTTAGTTAGTCACATAGAAATGAGCTAAATTTCTTTAATAATATTATTGAAGGACCTTAACTAATAAGAAAAATTACATTTTGAACATCTCCTACTACTTAAAGTTGGACATGGATGTTTCACTAATTTTTTCAAAAGTAAACTACAAAATATATGTAGTTAGGCCATCTCCAACCATGTATCAAATCCATCATCAAATTCAAATTTGGTGAAAAGTAACTTCTTTTCTTGCTCCAACGGTTTCAGCAAACACGTATCAAATCGAGAATATCAAAATTGTTTCATCAAATTGAGAATCACTACAACAAAAAATACCTTTGGCGACTAAATTTTTAGTCGCCAAAAGTCCTTTTTTAGTCGCCAAATGTCAAATTTTCACTTTCCCCAACAAAAACTTTTAGTCGCCGGTTTTGTCGCGAATACATGGTCGCGAATACCTTTAGCGACTAAAAAACTGTTAGTCGGCAAAATACAAGTCTTCAGCGACGAAAGAATTTGTCGCCAAATGCAATTCCATTTTTGGAAATTATACATTTCGCGACTAAACTTTTTGTTGCCAATACTGATTTTTTTTTTATTATTTAAACATTTGCCGACTAAACTTTTTGTCGCCAAAAAGTATACCTTTCGGCAACCACAGACTTTAGTCGCCAAAACCATTTTTCAGAAAAAAAAAAATTGCCTCTGCTGGTCCCAAGTTTCGAACCCGCAATGTCCCAACATTCTCAACATTTACCAACACTTTCTCCCCACTACGCCACTACAACATTACATGAATATTAATGCAACATTTATTATTTATATACTATTTTGACTGGTATTAATACAAAATTATATATATATAAATAATTATTTTTATTTAATATATTTTATGTAAAAAATAAATTATTTACTAAAAAAAATAGGATAGCACTTTTGGCGACTAAATTTGAATTTTAGTCGCCAATTCTCCATTTTTTGGCTACTAATTTGTTTTTTGTCGCTAAAAGAATTAATGTCGCCTAAGGATAGCACTTTTGGCGACTAAACTGAATTTTAGTCGCCAAAACCTCTACTTTGGGCGACTAAACTGCATTTTAGTCGGCAATTCTTGACCTTTAGCTACTAATTTTTTTTTGTAGCCAAAAAGCTTCACTTTCAGCGACTAAACTGTTTTTAGTCGGCAAAACACCAATAATCGGCGACCAAACTGCCGTTTAGTCGCCAAAACCATCACTTTTGGCTACTAAATCATTTTTAGTCGCCAAAAACCGTGACTTTTGGCTACTAAACAACCTTTAGTCGCCAAAACCCCTACATTCGGCGACTAAACTGCCTTTTAGTCGCTAATACCCTTATATTTGGCGCCTAAACTCTTTTAGTCGGCAAAAGTGATCAATTTTAGCGACTAATTCCATTTTAGTCGCCAGTTCTACTACTTTCAACGACGAAAAATGCAGTTTTGGTCGCCAAAAGTGCTTTTTGTTGTAGTGAATGTCTGGGATCTTTCAGCATTTTACTGTTTAGGACCGTTGTTTTTGGGCACCGGATGACCCTTCGGACGACCGGCCGGATGTCCATCAGGTCATTCGCTTAGTTGAAAACTTCCCACAAAATAGGAATTACAGTTCCAAGTTTCCAAGTATAAAGGACCATATCTGATATAATTTTGCTGCTATAAATTTTGAGACTACAGTGAAGTTTTGATTAGCTTTTTTTGTTTCTGTTTTTTTGAGTATGGCAGTTCAAACCAAACTAGGTGTGACAATTAGTAACAGAGACTAAGAACACATAAGCCCAAAAACTACTTGCAGGAAATTGTGTGAAGTGATAAATATGTGCTAAATGCTATGGAAAGCAATATGGAAAGTGTAGTGATAATATGGGTTGCAGTGTTTACTTTGAAAGCCTGACCAGAAACATCCCTTCTCGGATGCCTAAAAAGAAAAAAGAAAAAAAAAAAAATTAGCAATGATTTCTCCCCCATACAAACTGTAAACCAGAAATATCTATTAGAAGAAATAAAAGAACTTTACACCAGAAATGTGGTGTCTCTACTTTGAATTCTCTACTATTACTCTATAGAGAAAAGTTAGGTATCACGAAATTTTTTTTATGAAAATGATCATGAAAGATTTATGATTCTTGGATTACCTTGATTAATGTATGGTGCTTTATTCGAAGTATAATTCAAGGGTCACAAAACTTTCATGATTATTTTCATAAAAAGTTTTTCATGATACGTAGCATTGCTGTACTTTATATGTTGAACCATTTGTTTAAGTTTTTGCACATAGCTGCCCCTATCATCAATGTTGGTATAAGGTTGTGTTTATATTCGTCTTCATTTTCTATAATGTTTCTGTGTACATCAGGTTGTGTTATCAGACATCGTTGGTGGCTGAATGGCATTCTTGTTCATTCTCATCGGTACATATTATGATTTAATGTCTCAAGTTCATCTTTTGTTTTGCAGCAATTGCTGATATAAATTACAAATCTAGAGTTCTTCACCAATGGCTATCGATATTTGATTTAGATTCTTCCTGCTGCAGTTGTTGCACCCATGTATTTCTGAGGAAAAATTGAGTTTGGTGTCATTAATCAGTCTGTTTCTGCTTTCAATCATGTTCTTGGAGATTTCTCTCTCATTGTGTATCAAATGGATCTTGAATTGTTGTGATTTGATGCAGACTCAATTGTTGTGAAAATTTTGCATTGAGTGGTCGACCGGCCGGTCGATTGCCTGGTCAATCGGTGGTTTGATGAAAAGCCAAATTCCTCTGTTGGAGTAGGCGATATCAAAGGCAGTTTTTACTCAAATTTAGTGAAAAAAGTAATATACCGTTTGAAATGCCC